CCCCCCCCACCCCCACCCACCCCCAGCCCACGTTCACTTCGTTAAGATGAAACCCAACCCTAAAAAAAATGATTATGAGTACAAATATGTCTGTGTGGAGCGCGTGCTAATGCCGTTAAGAGCCAAGTGGCGCTCATTTTTCAGCCGTGATTACGTGTGGCGTGTGAGTCTTGCTCTCTTTCTCTTGAGCGGGACGATGATGATGATGATGATTCTCCTTTGACCCCCGGACTGAAGCTGGGCGACGTTATCTGCTTGTGAAACGGCAAATCCATTTAGAGACAGGAAGTGAGGCGCGGCATCGTTTCCGCTCTTCTCGTTCAGCAGAGTTTGCATTCGGCAGAAGCTGAGGTGTATTAATGCCATGAGGAGAAGGTTTTATGGAATCTGTGTGAGTGCAGTTAAAAATAAAATTATTTAAATCAGCCCAGAGACAAGAAATATAATCTGATGGCTAAATGGATTTTATATATAATTTGTGTGTATATATATATATATATATATACATTATATTTTTTATTATTATATTGCATAAAACTAGAATGTTATATTTTATATTTATTTTAATTACCAGGATTTTCTATTTCTTTGGAATATTTGTACAGTATGGGAAGATACATAAATAATCGCGATCCATTTTATCTTCCGTTTTTTAAACAGAATATGTGCGTGTATGTATGTATATATATATAAATACATACAAATAAATACAAAATAATATTAAATATAAATGCTGTATATATATATATATATATATCTTGTTACAAAAAAAATTACTTACCAACTTATTTCTTAATTTATTGGAAATATACATTTTATATCATGTAAATATATATATATATTTATAAAGCAATTAGAAAAGCAAAATGTTATATTGTATGTAATTTGCACCAACCCTACACCTAAACCTACCCCTTACAGGAAACTTTGTGCATTTTTACGTTCTCAAAAAAGCTCACTCTGTGTGATTTATAAGCGCTTTGAAAAGTGGGGACATGGAGTAATGTCCTGAAAAGTCACCTTCTCCTTGTAATACCTGTCATACCTTTGTCATTATACAAATGTGTATCCTTACTCACACACACACACACACACACACACACACACTCACTCACTCTCTCTCTCGCTCTCTCTCACACACGCACACACACACACACACTCTCTCTCACTCACACACACACCCACTCACTCACTCACTCACTCACTCACTCACTCTCACTCACTCACTCACTCACTCACTCTCACTCACACACACACACACACTTGTGTCTTACATTCATATTCAATGATCAGAAAGCTGTTTGTCTGAGTGCCGACCCATAATTACAGATTAACATCTACAACTGCTGACACTTATTTGTTCTGTTCTCTCTCTCTCTCTCTCTCTCTCTCTCTCTCTCGCTCTCTCTTCAACTCTGAGATGAAACGATCTCTGTGTCTGATGTCTTTATTCTGATCTCTTCACGCTCCAGCTTGATGTCTGTAAACCGAGAGAGAGAGAGAGAGAGAGAGAGATAGAGACTAAGCAGCTGCTCAGCACAGG